CTATTAATGCTAGCGAAATGTTTTTACATGGAAATTGTAGATCTCGTCGAGCTCTACAAGAAAGGTCCTATGCAATTTTCCCGTATCTCCCACGGTTTAGAAGTTATTCACGAAAAACGAAAATTTCGAGAAATTTGAAGGGGGTACCCCTTAGGAAAAATCTCGGAAAAATCGAAAATTTTTTTTTGTCGTTTATTATTAGCAATGTTCTTCCGACGTTTGATTTCTTTTTAAAAAATGCGTTTCTAGAGTGCATAAAACGTTTGGAATTGATTGTATAGCTAATACATCCTTAATCATTGTCCCGAGCTGTATAATTCGATTGACCGACGTACCTTCGGGATCGTGACGAGCGATAGGTCCGTAAACGGGATCGTTCGTCACAGGATACATGTGTTCCCCAAACAGCATCCTGTCTATGTACCCAGCTGCGCCAGCGGTGCAGTTCTCATACTTTCCATAGTACTGATACTTTCCACCAGGACTGAAGAAACCCGAGGGGCAATTTGGCACGGGGAGAAGGAAAGTGATGAGAGTATGCGTGGTGACGATGCATGTCATAATCAACCATTGAGGCCAGCTATCGACGATGTCCCGGAACATAGCAAACCGTCCGAACTGGAGTAACGTATCCTGATTGAGTCATTTTCATTCATCAGAGTAACGAATGAGACACACAGCAGTCACCAACAATAATCCACGAACCTGCGTGTGAGGTTTCATGAAGATCGTCTCCAAAATGGTGCACACGAAGTACGCGACAGCCAGTAATTGGAGAACTCCTGGGATGCGAAGATCGTGCAGAGTTTTACTGTGAATCGAGTTCACCATTAATCCCAGGAGAATGAGTAATACAAATCTTCGGATACACCGGGTAATTATCATTAAACGCGAAGTCGTTACGCGAAGTTCAGCTCTCTTCGAGATCGTTATAGACAATCCCATGACCCAAGCGAACCTGTAAACGTTTCATTGTATTCCGTCGAATCTTGATTACAATATAAATGATAATACTCACCAAGGAAGTACCAGATCTGCTACGGTCAAGCCGAACCATGCGCTGTGATTGAAGAACACGTACTGGCCACCTCCATTATTAACGAATATCATTAACAATAAAGCGATTCTGAAAGAGGAGAATTAATAAAGTACTTGAAACCAGAAAACGTATAATTGAAAGTACCCTCGAAACGCGTCCACTGATTTAATCCTCATGCTAGATTTCGTAGTTACAATCACAGTATGCGTCACGCTTTCATTCTCTTGAAGTCTGTCCAAATCCTGCAGAACAAAATTAAATAAGATTGTTTAAAAAGTAATAAAAGCTAATCGTACTCACATCTTGTACATTGTCCGGCGACAGTTTTCCTCTTATCACACGTATTACAACGCTGGTTGCCGACCGGAGAATTGCCAATATGACTAACAGCATAAATACAGCAAAGATCGCTGGAATAGTAAAAGATATTTATTAGTATCGCTTCCAGAGTCTCCTTTTGCTGTAACTTACGAAGGTAGCTCTGTACTGGTTGGCGTAAAGTTTCTATTTCATGGCAAATACCACCGTCTGACAAATTCCACCTGTACAGGCCATGTTCTTTGAAGTTATACGCCGTACTGAAAATGATTTAATAATAAATTAGACTGCGTATTACATTAGACATGAAAGTACTTACTGGCAATTGTCACGGTATTGACCGTCTTCAATAGTCTGATAGTAAATGTGCAGTGGACGTTTTGTGCTTATGATCAGGCTTGTATTTGTCCCTGGTTCTAAATTAGCTAATGGGAAGCCTAAGCCCTGTAAACACACCACATTGAAAGTGTACCAGTTTTAATTTGAAGAGGAAATTAATACGTACCATGTAAGCTTCACGTGCTATCGCATGAAAGATCGCAGGATAATTTGTTAGATCTTTAAGTACGAGACAGGCCTCGTCTATACCAAGAGTAGAGTTTATACAACCCCTCGTTTGGTTTGCCATTTTTAAAGATTCTGACTGCAGTTCCAAATAATTACATGAGTTCTACTAATTCCCAGTAAACTTGTAGCAGGAAAGATTGAGTATCACATCTGGAATTAAATGTTTCACATGTTATTCCTGTTCATAAAATATTCATTACCAATTATTTGTAAAATTGAACATGAAGAATGAAGAATGTTTGGTTCTGTTTTAAGGAACCTAACAAATCTCTCCTTATGCAAATTCTGCTTAATCTATTCTGTAATTGCCTGATTAATTACAGGAATTAATTAACTCAAAAGGTTAAAGCAGTTCAAAGATATCTGAAATATAATGAAAAAAAAAGACAACATACCACATAATAATTAATGGCGCAGTATTTTCCTCGGAAATACACAAAGGACCTGTACGCAAATTCACTTATGCAGGAAAATGTATGTAGACAGGAACAAGTGAATTTTGCTATCAATAATTATCAATATCAATTGCGTAATTTCACTGCGTGAGAAATACTAGAAAGCTGCGTCTAACTGTTGATGACCTCTGACAATCGATACTTCCTTGTATGTATACATATATATATATTGCCAAGCTCAACACATAGAAAAGTGGTATTTCCCTACAGTCTTATATATGTATTGAGAGTCTGTGTGTTCCACACATAAACATAGTCAATTTCTATAATAAATAATAAGTTTATATCGTTTTAAAGTCTGTGTCCACATTTCTAGGACCTGCAGCTTTAATTCAAATGCCAGTTTGCTAAAATTGATGCACTAGAAGCTGAGATATTGATTACTGATTTATTTACATAGATTGGACTCAATGAGGAAATTGAAAAGCGTTTGGTATCATTTCTCATTATCTCATTTACTTTTTAAGTTTTCTACTTATTGCTCAATCCCATTCGCAGGGAATATTTACATGAGGAGGCCTTACGTCAACCGGAGAAGTTGACATTAGCATGACTCATTCTCATTGTCAGAGGAGGAGGTCGTTTAATCTATTAAATCAGAAATGCATTCCCTGAAATTAAAGTAGAATGCAATTAAGTACAATCTGTATCGATAAAACTGATTCATTCTTATACCACGAACGAGTCAGACTATTTTAATTAGCCGGTTTCCCCGTTGCGTATGCCGTGTTTATCTGAGAGGAAAACGGAGATGGAAACGACACGTATAAATACGGAGGTCGTCAGGTAGGGAGAGAAGGAAAGTACCAGCGATAAGAGAAGGCTTAACAAGCTGGATTGGCTTCGTGCTGGGATTAGACCGAAGCTCATCTTACCAAGGATCGTCATTATTAAACGAGGAAAATGGACAGTACGTGTTTTATTATCAGAATACTTGTATCTACAAAAAAATAGATGATAGTACAGCTTGAAAATTTTTCTCAATGGATCTCCGTGTAATAAATTGTGTTTCTACTTCCTTGCAGAGAAAGGAATTGTTCTACTGGTTGTATGCTTACTAATTACCACCGCAATCGCTCAGCTGTCTCGTAAGTTAAATTAATTACCCGAGCACCTGCATAATTCACAATTGCACTCCTTGCAAAAGTAATAAATACTGCTCGCTGTGCATAAGTCATCTTCAAGCCTTCAGGCAAAAGTGATTAGGGATGCAATTTAAATAATAATAGAGTTTTAATCAAGGAGACAAGAAACAGTACATCATTATACTTTTTTTTTTTGTGCAATCCGTTTCATAATCCAGATCTGTATCATGCAATTAATTAGAATGACTTTCTATCTCTTCTGGAACTTTAGATAAAGGAACGGGATTCTGTCCTTTAAAGAATAGCGTTTCGAAATGTACTCCTAGATGCACCACAGATTTCCAGTGCTCTTTCAATGAAATCTGTTGCCCAAACAAATGCGGGAGCGAGTCTTGCGTCCAGGCGAGTGCAGTCAATACTGGAAACGGATACAAAGGATCGAACGGTAAAGATCTAATTAAAAAATTAACGAGATCATTATTCAGCCTCTCTTCCATCGATCTTTCATTTATTTGGAGTTACAAACTCATCGTACATCTAATAATTTATTTTTAGATGCCGTTTATTGCGCCGGAGTGAAATGCGGTCCGTACGAAAAATGCAAATTCGACCGGAGCAGCAAACGCGAGAAATGCGTTCGTACATAAATTCTATTTACGAAAGAATTCATAAATTCTATGCATCTTTTATAAACTATTGTATATATTATTAATAAAATTTGAATCGAATCCCGCGGGAGTATCGAAACTACCTGTTGGCGATATCGAGATCGAGAGTCGACTATCGAATGGTTGATTGCTAAGATCACAGTTGTAAGATAAGATATACCGTTCTGATTGTTATCTGCGATATTCTATTAACAAGAATCAGTATTATTATTAATAAACCGAGTATGAAGTGACGGAGGGGAATCTGTTTATCTAGGTTATCTTTAAATAATCGGGCAATATGTAATTCGACCTTGAGTCTGAAGTCGGCGTTCTTTGGTAGTTTAAGATAGGTTAGTTTTACGCCGACGCGATGGCATTGGATTTTATAGTGAACCGTTTGAAAGCACTAGCTTTGATACTCCTCGGAGTGTTCAGACGGGCGATTTGCTGCCTCCGGCGTCGAAGAAGATCCTCCTGCGATTCGATTCCTTTATCTGCGGTCGGCGTAGTGCCCAGCAGCACGCAGCCAGTGAGTTGATGTCACGCCTGTAGTTCTGTCATAGTTCTACGTGCGAATTTAAAGATCATGTAAACTTTGTTACAACGTTGATAATAGTAATCACTGAAGATGCTTGCTCAAGGAATTAGAGCAGTGGGATCAGTGGGAGGAGAACCCTGTGGTGGTTGTGCCAGATAGGCCAGTTAACGCAGTACAAGCTAAAATCGATCAGTACAGGCAGCAAGCATCTAAACCACCAGAATCTCCAGAGGAGCACCAGCCGAACTTCTTCGAGGTAATTATCCCCAAGTAGAATCCTTGAAAATATGAAAAAGCATTAATCGTTTGTCTCTTCTGCAGGATATGACGCCAAAGATTACAGCACAGACTAAGATTTTAGTTAAAGACAGAGCGGAGAGTATGAACAAGAATTCTTTGAAATTCGCAGTGCTCAGTGATCCGATTCCAACTGTGAGTTTCCATCGTTCAATCCTTTAAACTAAAGAGGCAATAATGAAATTGTATTCTTCAAGAACGAACTAGGAGAGTGGGAGGACAATGCTGGTAGCTGGGAGGAGGAGACTGCGAAGGAGTTTGGGGACACGACGAGAACTCTGAGGGAGCAGAAACGCAGGGAGAGGGAACAGAGATTGTTCGAGCAGCAACAGAAGAGGATCGAGCGGAATTCGAGACCTCAGCCACTGGGAGCGAAACTGGCCTCCTGATGAGAAACATCCGTTCGACTTTTCTACGAACATTAATCACGATCGAAGGAATCGATCGTTTTTGTATTTCGATAGAGTTTCGTTGTGTATAAAAGCAGGTTTAGAGGGCTCAAAGTTGATTATTATTTAGTCTACTCGTTGCATTTAATATTTCCATAACTTCTGTTATGTGTCTAACACACATTCCATGTAAATATTTTTATTTTATCGAATTGTCATCGAAATCAGTGTCGAATCGGGCGGCTAATCAAAATAATCTTACTCTGCTTTTAAAATGTATAGATTGTTAGCAATGGTAAATGAACATTTGTTTGACGCAAGTGTAACTATTCGCATGTCGATAAAAACTGTATGACTAAACCGACGTTTCCATTTGTATACAACCAGATAAGAGCGGAACAGATAAGGAACGGCTAAAATTGGGTAGACCAATTTTCCTTTATCCAACAGTCCACACAGTCCTACAGTCCTTATCCATCGGCTGTTACTTCGTCAGTGGCAATTAAGGTGATAAGAAATATGTTATTTCGTTGGATTTTTGCATAAATTTTCTCAGTAATAATTGTCGATCGAATAAAACTCCGTCGAAGGAGTATTCCATGCATTTACTTCGCTAGTTAAAGTCAATCAAGAACCGTTTTTCAAATTACGTCACACATGAGAATCGACATGTGTAAATTCGTACGACAATGGTGACGATGCGCAGTTGACTTCAGACGGTTGGTGTACGTGTACGAAAAACGCGATGGTTAAGCTTGTTTGATTGGAACGTATCTCTGAGGAAATTGCGGTGATCCTTATAGAAAGATTGTCTTAGGATTCCGCGAGTTTCCACGTTCATAAAATCCCGTGGTTGGCGATCGTTCCTCCGATCCCGATGATTCTCACCTCCGCCGTTCGTAACATATGCAAATCCGAAATGTCAACATCGGGAGGTGAGCCACGATAATCTACGATGTAATTTAGTTTCCTCGAAACTTGTCGGCCTTGCCCCCGAGACGGTGTCTAGCTATTCGTACGTGCAACGAACACACCTTAAAGGCGTTCGAATTTTTTATTTCCCGTCGACGATTTTATTTACAAATACGTTTCAGTCAAAAGTAGACGTCGTACGAAACGATTAATTCCGTTGCTCTTGGCAATACAGATAAAGCAATCGCACTCACCGAAGCTATACCTAGTAGTAACCAGTCGATATTTGATTTATTTTTATCCACGAATCGTGACCAAATTAATCGAATTTCTTTCAGACAGGAGAACGCGCTGTTATCTAAACAACACGCAGCTGATAAGAGGATTTCTCAGTGGAATTCGTTCCATGTGAATCATTTATGATACGGGATGATGTGAGAAGAGTGTAGCGCGTAGAAGAAGAACGTAAGCTTGATTTAATTGGAAAACTTAGAAAAATGGGTTCGATCGCGTTGGAAGAATACGAACTGATGAAGGACTCCAAGTACCGAGTCTACGTGTCTGCGGTTGACAAAGCTCTCAAGAGCTTTGAATACACCAGCGAATGGGCAGACCTGATCTCAGCGCTTGGGAAATTAAACAAGGTTTTACTGAGCCACATGAAATTCCCAGTGATCCCGAGGAGAATCAAGATATCTAAGAGACTGGCACAGTGTATGCACCCTGCATTGCCGTCCGGTGTTCATTTAAAAGCTCTAGAGACGTACGACATAATTTTCAAATGCATGGGCACTAACAGACTGAGCCACGAACTGTTCATATACAGCGCTGGCTTGTTTCCATTATTGGGACACGCAGCGATGAACGTCAGACCGTCTTTGTTGACGGTTTACGAGACTCATTTCGTGCCTCTCGGGGAGAGACTCAGGCCTGGTCTCAGCGGATTTCTCAGCGGCGTTCTGCTGGGTTTAGAAGACGGTTCTGATCACTACGACAGGACTAATTCTTTGCTGGAGAAAGTCTGCGAAGGAGTAGGACCGGATCACTTTTACGCCTGTTTGTGGGACTGTCTGGCTTCGAACTCCGGGATACGGCTGCCTGCTATATCCTTCGTCTTAGCGCACTTCAACAAGAAACTGCCAATGGAGGAACAGAAGTACATCATGGGTACAAACACGAACATTATGGTCACTGCTCTGTGCGCCGGAGTACAGGACAGTTCCGTGCTGGTACAAAGGAGCGCGTTGGACCTGCTTTTAGTCGGATTCCCTGTACACAATAGTCAATTAACGCGCGAGAACATGGTGTCGTTGGTCACAGCGGCTCTCGTCACTATATTAAGACGCGACATGAGTTTGAACAGAAGACTGTTCGCTTGGTTGTTAGGCACGGAAGTTAGTACGTCTATCTTGAAGAGGAAAACTGATAAAGTCTCGCAGAATGTAGAGAACACGCCTACTTACTTCGACACGTATTCAAAAGACATGTTAGTCGAAGCGATCAAGTCTTTCTTGAAGACCGTCTGCGAGGAGAGCCCGCAGGATTTAAAACCGTACAGAATATTAGTCTCTCTATTGGAAAAAGCGGATATTGGACCAGAGATTCTGGATGATATCCTGTATGAAGTATTCAGGACTTTTTACAACGCCTGCGGACAGTCGAACAGAGTGCCGAAGACGAACGAAGTCGTAAAATCAGCGAATCTGTTGTTCTCGACGTTGGAACCGTCTTACGTTTGGATACACTGCGGTCATTTATTCGAGAACGCTTGTCAGTCGAGAGCAAAGAGTAAAAAGGAGTTAGAGGACGTCACTGTAAGACTTGTAGGCAGTGGGACACCGAATTTCATGGAAGTCTGTATATTAACAGAGTTCCTCCTCGACACCGTGTCACTAGACGCTTTCATAGACACTCCTTCTGAACATTTGCCTGGCTTGTTCTACGAGATCATTAGCAAACTTTTGTATCACATCGACCTGCTGTCTCCTATGGAGATTTCAAGGAGCCTTCAATTATGTGCGAAGATCTTGTCCAAGGTCCAGCCGACGATAGTCACCACGCAGACGGAGAAGAACGAATTGGAAGTTAAACTGGACACGACTATCAGCGGAGCCAGTACGGCTACAATTAACGACAACTCCTTGACTGCGATACCATTGGAGAAAAGTCAATCTGATAGTAAATTAAATAAACAAGACGCGTCGAGTAACTTGTTCTCCGAGAAGAGTCCCAGTCCGAGGAGAAGAGCAAACTCCGGAGGAGCTACTAAACGATCTGAGAAGAAATCGAAGAAGAAATCTAGCAAGAGCACGTCGAAGCTGAGCGAGTCTCTGCCTGAACCAAGTACGAGTATTTCAGTAGTGGTGAGCCACGAGCCGAAAGGTTTGCCGAGGAACAAAAGCATGGATGACATAAAAGCAGAAGCTAGTATCGTCAATTCCCCTTCTAAGGATCAATTGGCGACTTTGAAACATTCTAGTAAAGCTAGCTCGATGGGTTCCACGGGATCCCTAGCGAGGGGACCGTCGCCGGCGTTCCAGGCTCAGCATTCTATGTTGGAGAAATGTCTGAGACAGTATGAAATATTTTACGTGAAGCTGATCAGTAACAGAGTATTAAGCAAAGAGAGAACTGTTCAAAGTATGTTCGACAATCTGATGATACCTTGTCCAAGGGAGAGCTTCGACGAGAGGATGCGATACTTGGAGCTTTTATTAAACTCCAGATTGAACATGGAAGACTCTGGTTTCTTTAGTCAAGACGTTTCTGTGACTGAAGACGGGAAACACGTCGACATTCTTCAATTACACATCGACTCTGTTTCGCAGGTGGATTGGGAGGAGGCAGTGAGGATGGCGTCTAGTTTATTCGTCGAGCTGTCCACGTTCCCTAAATATTTCCCCGGTGATGGACTGCTCGTAGAAGAAGAACCGAAGGAGAATATCGTTCTACCGGACTGGTTGAAGGTTCTCGCCGTCTGCAGCTGCTGGTTAGGCAAGCAGCCTTCTTTACAATTGACCAGCATTGCCACGCTGCTGGATTTAATAGCCTTATTGAAAGCCCACAACGACATTGAGACTCATCCGAAGAGCGGCGAGGGAATCACCACCGTAGTCATGGTACCATTGTTAAAACAGTGGCACATAACTTATTTAATGCAGTACACGAACGTATTTCAAGTACTGGCGCACTCCTTATGGTACCACCTCGGCGAGTTACCAGCGCATAAGTACAGAATGCGTTGTGTAGAATTGTTACATGAACTCCATCACGCTTTGCACGACACGTGCGATGCAGTTGAGGACGTGATAGGCGCAGCGCTCACGTCGGAAAGCATAGAGAGAAGAATAGAAGCGTTCAGTAGATTCGCCACGTTGTGGCATCTGGGAAGAGAGATCGAAACGAATCCGAGACTGCGAGGCTGTTTGAGATCCTTCGATCAATCTTTGTTAAAACTGTTAGACAATCTGCAGCTCGCGGATAATTCCCCGTTGAAGCTCCACGCTCAGTCCTGGCTCCTGCATTCTCTGATGCGTGGAGATATTTCAAGAGTCGTGGACCCTTTGTTAATAATATTACTGGACCCGTCGACGTGTCGTATGAGCGTACTTCATGTTAGTATTCAACACAGTAACACGGTTTTAACGAAGAACGACGCCGTGGAGGAGAAGTCTGAAATCCAGGACGACACCGAAGGCGCGGCGAAGATCTACGCGATCAGTTCTGTAGACGGGAACGTGATTTATCACGTCAGCGACAGCGTCGACGAGGACAAGATCTGGAGGAAAGGGAAGAAGAAGAAGAAGACGATAAACCCTGTGAAAGTAAAAAGAATATTCGCAGTGACTACTTTGGCTGCTGGAGAAAATTGCAATCAATACGTCACTGAGAAGAATCAGTTCATGAAAGAGCTGGAAGTGCCTCCGAGCATTTCTGGTAACAGGAAAATTTCTGTGTTCGTGAATCCTCTGTCTCTCAACTGCAACGAGAATTCAAACGATTCTTTGACCGAAGACGAATTAATACCAACCGTGAAGAAGACGAATTTGACAACGGAGTTGTTGAAGAACGCGACGAGGTTCAAGAAGATAGACTTTGACAAAGGGTCAAACGCGAGTCTAGACGAGAGCCTGTACGAATCTGCGAGTTCCAGCTCAAAAGCGAAGGAGAAGAACGGGTACAAGAAGGTCAACGGTGAGGTGGACTCTTCCATGGATTCTATTACTAACAGTTTCGATTCCAGCAGCCCTGAAATCACTCACAAACAATCTAAACAGAAGAAGGAGAATATGCTGTTGCCAGGAGGTTCGAGAGAGGTGGCTGGCACTATAATTAAAGGGAAGTATCACAGCACCAACGAGTTCGCTACGAATTACGACATCCACGACGTGGGTAGTTTCGAAGCCAGCGTCGAAGTTCCTAGCTGGACGATGGACGACGAAGAGGCTGACTTAGACGTTAGCACGACTGCCGAGGAGTATTTCAGCAATTCCAGTGGTAACAGTATAGTCGAAGAGATTCTCAACGAAGTTCTAGACAAAGTGATGCAGATCTGTGACGTGGAACAACCGAAGAGCATCGAGGAAGCCTCGGGTCAGAATTCTAAATCTGGAAGGAACTTCGGAGTCGGTGTACACAATTTACACTCGCACATGCTGCTCTACTGCGGAGTCTACGATTCCACGAGGACTCTGTACGCTCTGCGTACTCTTCGAAACGAGTTATTAACGAACACGAGGATGTTCCTCTGCTGCGCAGCGACCACCGGCGTTTCGAACACGACGAAGAACACGACTCTACTGAATTTGTTGGCCAGGCACCGGAAGAGCGTGTTCGGAAGGAATTTCCATGGGGACGTCGCTAATACTGAGTTCATAGCAGCTTACAGGAGCAGCATGTACCTGGAGGTTTTGATCAGCGTCTGCCTTTACTTCGCCAGGAGTTATTATCCAAATCTGGGACAAATGAGGCTCACGCACGAAGAGATATCTGGCAATCGACAGGTTCAACTCGCCAGCGCGGAATTATTAACTCTGATGTTCTCTGAATTAATTCCTATCGTTCGCGACTCTGGTAAAGGATTCAGTTGTTACATAGTCGATCTTCTCACGAAGTGCAAAGTGCAGAAAGTCGCGTTGCACTGTCTCGTGTCGAGCGTGATGAACATGAAGAACGCGCATAAAGAAAACGAGGAGGTCTCCACGTTCACCGAAGAGATTGTTTTGTTCAACGATCCTGTGGTTGAAAACGATATAAACAAATGCAAATTCAGGGCGAGCGATCACACAGAGGCTTTCCAAATACAATTACTAAGATTGCTGTTAGCTTTAATTATGTTAGAGTATCAATGTGGTAATCAAAAAGGCGAGGAGATCTGCCCGCCGACGATAACGACGCCTAGCACACCGACGACCGTTCCTAACATCACGGGAAACAGTTTGAAGTATCTACCCGGTGCACCGATTCCACAGCAACCAATGTTCCTCGCGAGTATATTAAGCGCCTTACAACTAGATCACATGCGACACTTGCATCAGCACTGGACGACCCTCGTCACGTCCAGCCTCCCTTTCATGGGATCCTCGTTAACGTCTATAGTCACATCGGTCATCCATCAGCTTTGCTGCAACATCGAACACCTGTCGTCTTATTACATCAACGAAGAAACAGCGACGACGACCATGGCGACTAAATTACAAGATATAAGCACCGTCGAATGCTGTCTTCCTGCAGATTACACAGTCACGCATTTAGAAGCTCTCACGTTTTTACTTCATTATTGTTTATTAGATACGTCGCAGCAAATTGGGTTCTCGTTTAATCAGCCTTTCAGCGGTACGATCCAGACTGGGATTCCTGGTGCGAATCCTGGACAGATATTTAATAATCTCATTCACGTGTTCATGCCCAGCCCGCTCTCTTCCGATCTGACGACGAACAAAGATAAGAACGGGATTAGTGAATTACAGCAGCACGCCAGGCGAACGGCTCTCAGTCACCTCCCTAGGATAATCGCGTCTCTCTCTACCCTCTGGCAAGCAGTGTTAGCTACCAAAGACAATGAACAGGCCAGCTGCGTGGTGGGCTGTCCAAGAATAGTGAAGCATCAGCTTTTGGAATTACTGTCTCCCATATCGTTCCACCATGGAGTGAATTTCTTAGCTGCGATCGCAGTCGCTTGGCACGAGAGGCGACAGCCTTCTGGAAGTTCAAAGAAAGTACTTCCAGAGGCTTGTCCGAATCAACAAGTGATGGTTCACCTCGTGAGCGCGATCCGCGTGATGCCCATCGATACCCTCGTGCAAACTGTTCACCAAGTCGTGAAGAATTCTCCACCGATTCATGGAGTCAAGCAAGATTTCTCGTTGGAGGTCTCCGTGTTGGAATTGCTTTACGTTTACATGCAGAGCAACACGTCGCAGTCGCTGATCGAGTCCTGGGCTTCTCTGTTAGGTTTACTGAAAGACGGCCTATCTCTAACAGCGCCTGCCCAGTTCCTCTTGTTAGCAATTTTAAACGAGTACGTGCAGAAGTGTCCGCCTATGCAGGAGAAGAAGGACATACGAGATCTGCAGGACGTATCAGCGAAGGTATGCATTCTTTTTATTATCTAAATAATCAGTTTTGTACAATTAAAACTGTTTCAGCTGGTCGAGTCGTGTTCGCAAATAGCAGGAGCCTGCTTAGAGCAGACGACGTGGCTGAGGAGGAACCTGGCAGTGAGGGAAGACGCGTTCGAAGTTGCCGAAGGATCCTCGGAAGGTAAAGAGGGCAAAACTGGTGCTGGTGCGTAACGTGTTTCTCCTTTAGAATTCCCGAGATTGTTTAAACCCGATATCAGCTCGAGCTTTGCAAATACCGAACGACGGAGGAAATTAAGGAACGTTTATCTTTACAGTAACTCCCGGCACGCCGCCTAACGCAGCGTACAGTATTCAAGCCCAGGCAGTATTGGCAGAAATCGTCGCGCCTTTATTGGACGTCAGCTACGGTTCTCAAGAGAAAGAACGCGTCGTCACTCTGTTAACTAATCTCATGTACAATGTCACGCCGTACCTAAAAAATCACTCGTAAGATTTGATTTTATTTAAATGTATTAATTTGATGGACGAATGTATTAATGTGTGAACTTCCAGGACGAAGAACATCGCCTCGTTCACGGCTTGTTCTCAGTTACTCAGTTCCTTGTCCGGTTACCAGTACACGAGGAAAGCATGGCGCAAAGACGTCCTCGATCTTTTATTAGATCCTGCGTTCTTCCAAATGACGCCAGCCTGTTTACCGTACTGGAGGACCATCATAGATAATCTAATGACGCATGACAATACGACGTTCCGAGACTTAATGAGTAATTATCTAAATTTCTATCAATGAATTTGTACACAGTTTAATTAAATACGTTTTATCTCGACAGATCGCGTTTCCATGGCTCAGAGCAGTAGCATCAGTATATTCTCGTCGAAGGAGCAAGAGTACGAGCAGAAGGCTCAGCTGTTGAAGAGACTGGCGTACGTGATATTCTGCAGCGAGATGGATCAGTACCATAAATACATGCCTGAGATACAAGGTAAATTATAATTTAAATACGAGTTTATTTTATATTAATTTTATCCCCTCGTTTTTATTAGAACGATTGGCGGATAGTTTGAGACTGCCGCAGGTGATTCCGTCGATTCAAGCCCAGGTGTTTCTGTGTTTCCGTGTGTTACTCCTTAGAATGACCCCGCAACACGCTACTTCCTTATGGCCGGTAATAGTCAGTGAACTTGTTCAAGTCTTCCTGTACATTGAACAAGAACTGAGTACAGATAGCGAGGAGTTCAGGTACGACGGTGTTTCATTGAATTTATTATTACTGGTTTTCTCGCCTTGGCTCTCCGGTGGCTTCGCATGTCACTCTGGGAATATAAGAAATAAGAATTCGATTTTTATAAGAATGGAATTGTTAATCTTTTCTCGAGTGCGTTTAACGCTGTTTCTAATCTCGTTGTTTCTACTCCTTACTAACATGGATAATACCTCTAATGTCATATTGTTTTTTCGACTTTGTTCCGGTGTCCCTGGGATTTATGATGCCTCGATAAATCGATTGGTGTTGGGACATCAGTCGTCATGGCAGGTAATTTTCATTGCCTCTTGCATTTTACTTTTTGTTCGTTTCTCGAGAAACAAAAGTAGAGTTGGGATAGAATGTAGTTACGATCGTGGGATTTGTGTTTGTTCCGCTTTAATACCGCAGTAAATTAGAATAAGAAGAAATTCTCGTTCTAATGAATCAATTGTTTTTTTCAATTGTCGGTTTTTAACAGTTCGCATATAAAATTACTGTCCGCTTTGGACTCGTCTTGGGCTGTGAACGCTAACAACGGTCTCCAGGCGCACGGCCATCCTCACTGGCTGCAGCTGCAACTCGCAGCTGCTAAATTGTTAGATCTGGCGTTGCTGTTACCCGCGCACAGGCTTCCTCAGTTCCAAATGTAAGTGTACAATAAATAAATCGAATGGAAGGAGCTTACTAAGGAAACAATCGTATTACAGGTACAGATGGGCATTCGTAGGAGATTCGGCTGCAGGATCTTTGGAGAACAACAATCTCTCGTCGGACTTTGTACCACACATTACGAGAATAGCGAAATTAATGGACAGCAAGGTGAGAAATAATTGATAGTTTTATTCAATGATTAATGAAACATTATTTGATATAAAAATCCTCCTCCTTCAACGAGCATTGATCAGGCAATAAACACTGTTGAGTCTTCTCGTCGTACACGTATTCCTCTTTGCACTCGCATCCGCTCTTGCATGGGGAATAGCAGTCGACCACGTCTGGTTCGGTGCAAGTGAACTGGCAGAGACAATGCGTCCATACAGACTTTTCATCGCACTGTTGAAAATTCCTGCTGACAACGTAGTCGAGCTCGTCGTAATCGTAGCCAGGGATTCTGTGCTTCGTGTATCGATACACTCTCTCGGGTTTGTACCAGTCCAGCTTAGTGACCGGCGACCTTTTCGCGAGGGAATCCTCATTTTCGAACTGAAGACCGTTTTTATGGGAGTAAACGTCGTTGTCCTCGAAATTGGTCAGGATATAAAAATCGTCTTGGTCTCTGTTAAAGTTGTAACTCACCGGCATCTCCTCGTACAATTCTAAGTCCTTGTAATCAGAATCGTCCGTGTACTCTATAAAGTTAAACGAATTTCGTATGGCCGACGTTCATTTATTCTATTAATCGGTTTCAATTCACCTTAATTGACTTTATTAAACGCGAGGAAGCTCGAACGAACTCTACCTTCTCGTTCATTCATAGTTATCGAATTTGTTAAACAACTTACGTGATCGCGTGTGAGCATTTATTATTACCAGAAGATAAACTATGAGACCAGTCACTGCCATGATCACTCTCCAACTGATTCAAACCGTGTACAGAGTCTTTTACTTACTACAAGCGTTCTTAATTAACACTATGCATGTATAACTTCGCTTTACCCTCACATGATCGTTTCAATTAAATCTTGTATAAAAACTTGAACAGAGAGAGGCTTGGGACTTCTCTGTAGAGATTCTGATGAAATACTTATTTCGGTAGCTTGCGATTTCTGTATACATAGCTTATTTCTGTAACCATGCCAGTTATAATTCTCTACAATTTCGCTTGCTATACATTCTCATAAAACTTGTTATAATTTATATTTCATTTATTATATTCAGAACAACGCAACAAACCGTTGAAGGAATTTCATAAAGGGACTATAAACGTACGTGATATTTAATTTCAGTACAAACAAGAGACTGGCTTTGCGAGGGCTACGCCTGGTGAGCTTCTGTTGACGTCGAACAACATCCGCTCGTTGCAAGACCTGCATTATTTTTTTACAACGCTGAGTCGCAGATCGAGCGACACCCAGGCACCGTTGAACATTACACAACTGGAGACGGTGATCGAGCAAGATTTCCTTGAAAAGATGCCAGCCGCGAGGTAGTAGGACGTATATACAAAACGGATGGATAGGCGAACATAAACGTAACGTCGTTATTCTTTGATATCTTTTTAATGCACGCGGAAACGATCCCCGATCGAACTTCAATTCCACGCAGTTCTCCACTTGTACATTAATCGTAGGGAATTGTATATTCTGATGAACATTTCATTTCTATTAGCTAAGCTTCGAAAACTTGTCTCCTCATTCGGTTGTGAATAGTCAGAAGATACGGGCTGGCGCCTAGCTAATTATTATCTAGAGGGAACATACAAAAATGTACAGTGTAACATAACTTTATTCGTTTCGAACTTTCAATCGTTTCTTCGCTCTTCGGTTGTTATCGACATATAAATACTGAATGTTCGATAAAGCTTGGTTGAGCAACAGAGATACTAGCAACGATTTCACAGCCTCTCTGATCTTTCGTTAATTAATTAAAATAGATGTCTGTAGTAAATGAGCAACGGTGATTTCTAAAGTGCAAAGAGAGAACGATATATTTTAGAATCCGATGTACAGGAATAAATAGAAGATGCGTCATGTGTGTGAATGTTATGCTTCAATATTAATTANTGTATATATTTTAAGATACAGTTCGATTTGTTTAACTTATTACACCGTAGGGCAACGATTTTATAATATTGTTTAGCTTTCCCTTAACGCAGCTATCGAAAATTGTAACATTGGCAAAAGCGGTACGCGTAAGGATATATATTTATGTTGAAGAAAAAAATGTACATTTATACAATAAATTAATGTTCAACGAAAGTATTGACTGACTCGAATGTCCACCTGAGTCAGTCGCTTTTAGAAATAAAATCGATTCTAAAAGTTGATGATTGAAACCCAGGTGTAGATTCGAATTTGAATCGTCCGCGCTACCTGCGACGCGTCCGCCATTAAAATCCAACACAATGAACAACTCCTAATCCCTTGTGTCGAACGTGTAACGGTGTAACGCCCTTAAAAGTGATCGCGCTGAAACGTGCATGCACGAAATCAATTAAATAATGGAACGATTATAACGAGTCTGCTGGTGAAGGACCGTGGATCAACGGAACGATAATGCGTGAGATCGCGGAGCCCTCCTCCTTATCAAGACTGAGCGGACGCGTATGGTGTCGGGTAGGAAAACAAAAATGCTTCAGTGTCGTGCTGGTGGTTTGGCCTAGCGCTCGGTAGTTGCATGTTACGCTGGATGTTAAGCAATATCCATGCACATAAGCGGTTACGCGGTTGGAACCGGTTCTCCTGAATCGTTACACGCTTGAAAGGCTAGTTTCGAACGTGCGCGAGGTGAAAGTCGACGAGGTATGATCAAAGAAAATACCCGTGGTTAGTTACAGTCGGACCACGCGTGTAACGTGCTCGGGAAAAATGATGTTCACACGAATTTCTACGATTCGATCGAACGGTTAACCAAAAAACGCGCATCGGGATACGTCCGCCGTGAACGTAACTACGAAAGATAAACACGTATTGTCAATCGTTCGTCGAACGTGAAAGGGAAAATTTTGTTTACAATGGCTGTGCTGAACAAGTGGGAGAACGCTTGCAGATTGTGTTCAGAGGAGAAGAACGAGATGCTCTCGATATTCGGTAAAGAGGGCATACAGAGGAAGGTAGCGCAGAAGCTGCGTGCCTGTCTCCCGGTTCTCGTTTACAAGACCGATCCACTGCCAAAGCAGATATGCCAGTTCTGTGCCGCGAGGCTGGACGACGTCTACGAGTTCAGGGAGTACTGTCTCAGCGTCTACAAGAGCATGCACTTGAAACTGTTAGCTTGTAAGAGCGTCGAGTCTGTTCAGATATACTTAGAAGCTATGAAAAACTCCCCGGATCCGTGCCAGGTACGAATCTCTTTGTACAACGTTCGTTTTACGACTTCCTGTTCTACGAGGTATGATTTTACAGGCTCAGTTGTGGAGGGAGAAGGCCAGAGCTCCTCCACCTTTAGTACCTTTGCCGGTCTCACTGCCAGTCGACAATCCGTCATTGCCAATAGACGTTAGCCAGGAACAAGCTAGTTGCATCGAAACCTTGTCCGAACTACCGTGCGAAGTAGAGATAAAAGAAGCCTCGGAACCGATACTGGGAGCCGATGTGTACGAGCGGAAGGATAAGAACAATTTAGCAGATGAATTGAGCAATGAAGCGAAGAAAGACGAGAAGAGGACGAGTATTTTGGAACAGGTGCTGATGGGCAGTTTAACGATGAACGATAGAAGCGATTTGAGCCCAGAGAGCAAACCATCCTCCGAGTGGTGGTGTACTCCCTGCAATAGTTACTACAAGTAAGTTCTCAGTGTTCGAATAAATCCATAAAATTGTTGACGAATCAATCGATTGCAGGACGAAGGAGAGCCTGATGAAGCACATGCAGTCTGAATGCCCGAGGAAATACAATTGTAGAAAATGTTCGGATCACTTCGAATCTGTAGAAGACTTGGCCAGGCACGAGGCCACTAATCATTTAAAGATAACGCTAGACTTCGATAGGACCGTTCTAGATTGTAATCAATGTGATAGACAATTCGTTAGTTGGGAGATGCTGAAGAAACATAGACTAAGCGATCACTCGACTGATTGTGAGACTAACGAGACTGGGACCAACACTCGGTGCTCTTTATGTAATAGGTAATTATTCCACGTTTGTTTATACGATTTGAATGATTAACATACGATTGTTTACAGATTTTTCCCAAGTATAGAAGCTTACCAAAACCACGCGCAGTTACACGAATTAAATAATTGCACGCCGTCGAAGGCAGTGGAACAACAACAAGTCGTAAGAAACGAGGAACCTAAGGAAGGGAAAAGGGATCATTTTATGGAGGGCAGCAAATCGCTCACGTGTCCCACTTGTGGCAAGGTAATCAATTTGAATAAAAGAAATAACAATTGCATCTCTAAAATCATTCTTTTTATACAGACGTGTACTCAGCAAAGTGCTTTATCGAATCATATGCGCACTCACGAACCAAAAAGACATAAATGTGATATCTGCGGACGATCCTTCGGACTCTTTATTCGTCTAGCGACCCACCGAATGAGCGAGCACAGTCAGCAGCCTACGATGTCGCCTGTAATGGCCAGCGTGGAACAAGAAGAGGCGTTGAACGCTGAAAGAGAAGCTAGAGAGGCCAGGGAGGCGAGGACTCGAGCGAAAGCCAGATCTTATTCAGAGGTACGATTAGTTGGCATGGGATTCGGAAGATCGTTTATTAATTAAATATAAAATCGTAGATAATAGAAAGAGAAGACACTCCTAATCACGAGGAACCACCGTCGAAGAGATTGAGCACCGGTGCATTTAAGAACGTGGCGAGATGCGGTATTTGTCTACAGTGGTTCAGCGATCACACGACGATGTTGATACACCTGCAGACGCATTCTGATAATTACACTTGTAAAAACTTCATCTGCCACGTGTGTAAGAAATCTTTCAAGGAGAAGTGGCAGCTGTTCAGGCACGAGGTACTTGGATCATCCTGGATATCGTTTAAATACCTATTTCGTTGGTTTTAATTAATTTTTATTATTACGCAGGTGTCTCATAAACGAAACGAGTCCTCGTCGGTGTTCACGTGCGCTGTATGCAACAAGTCGTTCAACGATAAGAACGCGTACAAGGTGCACCAGAAGACGCACATCGTAGACAAGACATATCATTGTTCGAAATGTAATAAAATATTCTTCAAAGAGGTGTCGATGCTGACGCATCAGTGCACGTCGGAGTTGGTGCTCGGTAAGAAAGGAGTCCCTTCGAAATCTCCCCAGCGAACTGCCACCAACAACAGCAAGAAATACAAATGTAACAAATGCAACGCGTCTTTCAGTAGCTTCCAATCGAAGAACTCGCACATGAGAGTGCACACGGAGAGTTCGCATACGACAGTAAGTAGTTGATTGAGAATCTGCGATCGTCGATCGAATCGTTCGTTTAATTAATTGCCTGTGTAATTGCGAAGGTGAGGAAACAGGAATTGGACGAGTCGGAGGAAGAAGGAATGCCAAAATTAGTTCCAGAGGCGTCGTTAGAATACTCTGTGCCTCCCATCGAACCAAAAGTAGAGATAAACGAGGAGACCGCTCCGCCTCCGGTCAAGCGAACTCTGATTAGGACCACTGGCGGGTGTGTATAAAAAAAATAAAAAAAACTCTGTTCATTCAATCAATTCTGTGTGTCAGTTCGATAAATTCTGTTGAATCGTTTCAGATATCGTTGCGGAGTATGCCAGTCGCCGTTCGTTCTACGCGAGCTAGCTGTGGCACACTTGAGATCGGCGCACCCACTGATGCCTTATCAGTGTCCTTATTGTAAAAAACAGTTCACCACCCAATACATGTTCGCTCATCACATTAAAACTGATCATCCCGACGAGCACGAGAATTGAGACGTGAACGATTAACATGCCAAACGATGGTTCTTCTACCATAAATTGCCTTTAAGAATAGGGTAACTTCTGTTTATACATAATAAGATATATATATACGTATATATATACATATATATATACGATATTAACAGTTGTCGATTTTACGCTGGAGGTGTATTATTTAATTAACCGGCACTCTAGTTCCTCACGAATAATTGGCCTTAAAGTTTTTTGGCTTCGGACGAAGGGTGAATCCTCGAATAAATATCAATTGCATTCAATGAAATATAGTTTTTCATTAGGAGTACTTAAATCGTTTAAGCCTGTTTAAGTACGCTTAAGTAATATTTAGTCGAATTAACGAATGCCGAAGATACGCGTTTTTAATCGTAGTTAAAACAAATGTTAGTCATTTCGTTTGTTAGCGTTCAAAGACATTCCTTTTTCTAATTGAATTTCCCGCAGATTTTCAATGGGTCTTTGTTAAAGGCAAACGTTTAATGCTACTATAAATTATCATTGTTTTATTTTATATATAAAGCATTTACAATAAAAACCCTGTCGAGAGAAGGATTCGTATCATTCAATAAATTTATTACAAACTATTCTTCTCAAACGTTCAATATACATTTGAATAGTACAGATTTTCGCGCAAAATTAATTCAAATCACGGAAACAGCCGAAGACGAACGACTCGATGGTTCGCGTTTCTGTTCACAGGTGGCGGTCGAAGCTCGAATCGGCGTCAGTTTCGTAATGGCGGTATGGAAGTGAGTGAACTGCATGATAAACTTTTCGTAAGTAATTTTATTTCATAAATAATCATTAGACAAGCGTTAATCGTTACATAATTGTTAATTAAGAATGATATTAACGATCGTTCGTCGTTCGTCAAAGAATATTCTCGTTCTCGACGTCTGGCTATGCCGTTGCATGCACTACTGCGCGTCGGTTGCTCATCGACTTTTACTACTGAATTTGAAGTCTCAAAGTCTAAACGCGTATTCGTAGTTCGAACGAAGAGACAAAAACTCGAATGCAAATGCAGAGTCGACGCTGAGAATTCGTTCGAACCGTTTTTATAATATCGACGCATTCGCTTCTAATTTTCAACAGTTCATGAAAGTTTAAGTGTACAGTTTATCGGAAATTGTACACAGTTTCTAAAACGATGTAGTACACTCGATGAGGAACGATTTCGTTTGAAAATAGGGTGGGCGGGATTGGTTTGAAAAGTAAGGCTGAAATACGTTGATAATGAAAACTGGCCCGGTGGGGGAGTGAACGTAGGGCGCATGGAAAAAGCGTCGGGGGGCAGATCTGCCGCATAGCCGACGGAAACCCTGTGATCTCGATCAGACGCGACGCGTCCGCGATCACGTACGGTGCACCACGCGAGACGACGAGTCAACTTCGTACACGTTCGTTCAGTCATTTCGGATGTGAACTCTCGATCGTAGAAAGAAAGAAAAAAGCATTAGAGTCGTCGATCGAACACTGCCAAAAAGAAACCTCCTCGAGTATTTAATCGTTTCATAAAATTTTTCAAACGTTTCTCTTTTTCGTCGGTTTCTCGAGGTGAATTTAAATTCCAGGGAAGAGACTGTCGATAGCTGCAGCCGCGTGTGAATTCTTCCATGCAACCAGGGTAGACGTAACCTCGTCCGAAGTGACTGACTGCAACGTGTGATTCGCTGACAACACATGGTCCGGTGATCATGATTGCAAATCTCGCGCCGATCACCCTCGTCCTCGTGGTTCTCCTCTCGACTCTCCATCACGGTGAGTCAATTCTATTACACAATCGCTTCGATCGATACAATTTTTCATTCCCATTTTACATTATTTAATTAATCAACCATTTTTATCGAGCGTCATTTAGGATCTAGGAAAGTTGCTTGAAAAGTTTAAATAGTCTGCAATTACTGAAGTTCTCAACGACCAAGAAAGTTTGCACGCATTTTATATTATTCGACCATGCAATTTTTAAAAGCGTCGAGGATAAGTAGTGTTTAACTGTATGAAAAAGACGCGCCGAAACAGACACGATATTGATTTCGGGTTACATAAAAGCCGCGATCGAGCTTTTCATCAGCCGCAGTCCTTGCAACTTTTCACTCGCGTCCTCGACGATTCCCGTGAGAGACACGACAAAATTGCATCATTTATAGGTCAACAATAATCGAATAATTTGAAGAAATGCAAATCGCATTAACATTAATCGTGGGAAGAATGCGAGATAGTCGCGGAGGATTATGGTGTTCCAGATGTGTTCAGGGAACTCGTACAATACTTCGGCACTTGTACTTCTTCGCTGTTTCTCTCCCGGTGTACTCGATTTTTCCATTCAATCTGATTATATGAGAAAATGACGCGCGAGAGGAGTCACCGGAAATTAACAGTCGTTATAAAAATTAGGGATGTAATAATTGAAATAGAAAATAGTTTACAGGAAGTAGTGTGGGAATAGATAACAGAATAATTAGTACTGGTGATTTCGCAAGAATATTTATTCAGATCAATTGCGTCCGTACGCTCGAGAGACTGCCGCTCGAACAGACGTCCAACGGCTCTCCCTTATCTCTTCTCAGAAGAATCGGTTTTCTAAAGAACATTTGCCAAAAGGGCCATGTGGCCCGTCGCTAGGCCAGTCCGGCACAGTAGAATCGAAGGGAAGCCTCGACGGTGCAAGCTCGGTGACCGGAAATAATCTGCAAGAATACAATCCTCGAAATGATTTCCAGTTTAAAGAAGATATGTAAAAATCGACATTAATATCTTTAAAATTATAACTGCAACTTCTACAATTGTAGAAAGTTTTTCATAAAAAATGTACAAAGTATTTTTTAGTTGTAGTAGAAGATTGAGGAAATTTGGAGGGTCGATGAGTGACATAAGCGGAGGTGAGGAAGTTGCACGCTCGCGTGAATCGTTAGGCGGTGACCTTAAAGGAAGGTTTGCGAGACCAGACGGACTTAAAGCTACCGGTTCGAATGGAAATGCAAGAAGAGCGAACGGGGTTTGGTTTAAAACCGGAACAGCAGCAGACGACGTAGATTCCTTCGATTGAAATCGCCTCGCAGTTCCCTCGAGACGAATTATTATCGATATTTGTCGAAATTTGGATTTTTGGTTCATAGAACCTGGCCCCCGCGAGGGTTATCGAGCGACCCACTTTCTCCCCTCCTTCCCTCTGCATTCTCTCACACTCTCCGAAATTCTACTCTCCCTGCACCGCGTGGTACCAAGGGGACGTCTCTCGCGTTAACCTTGCCTCATCGACGAATTTTTCATGAATTTTTGGGAGGAATCCTCTTTCCTCGGAGGAAGACGTCCCTTTCGCTGGTCGATTACATAAGGACCTGCAATGTCACGCAGAGTGTCGGTTCCTCACGCGACTCACCCCACCGTCTACCCACCCAGCCCTGTCCTATTTACTGCTGATCGAACGTCTAGCGTGGTTTCGAATGTCACTGGAGAGCCTCTAACGCACACAGAATGATCAATGTTTCCATACACAGTCCAAGTGGCAAACACTCGATACCTCGGCTTTAATCGTCGGACCCTCTCAGCCGTTTCGTTCTCTTTAATAATGTGAAATCGACTGTGTCAAATCGTCGAGCATGCTTAGCGGCTGGTTAAAATTTTCAGCTCCTTTTAGGAAGCCTAGGCTAGTTGCTCGTCATGTTCGTCAATGATTCCATTAACTAAACGGAGGATCGATTCATCAGTGGGCTGGGATTATCGATTCGGAGGAAGCACGGTTCTCGTGTGAAAGCGGAACGCCTTGCAGAATTCGCCCAAGGTCAGGGTGCCTCATCTATCATCGTGAATTCTCTGAACCAACAGACTTTCACGCGAAGCTCACAATCGAGGAATTCTCTCATTTATTTAATTTAGATTTTACATAATATTGTATTTTGTTCATTTTTCTATTAATTAATTGTTTTAGGGAAAGTGGAGGTTCTCGTAGGAATTGTTATTTAAATTGCATCGATTGTTCCCGAGGTTTCCATGGACCTATTTTTCTAGGAGTGTATCAGTAGGTCATCGCGCGTTGGTCGGGGTATTCCTGCTCGATATCAGCTGGTGCCGTAACCGGACTCGTTGGGAGGGTGAATGGGGCTGCGTTGTGACGTCACAACGCGGCAGGGTCGTAGCCAATCACGAGGCGAAATAACAAATTGTCGAATAAAACGATCGTCAATGAAGATAGAAAGAGGAACCTGGAGTTCCTGCTAGAAATTCGATCGATGAGAATTATAATAAAAACGGTTGCTGATAGTTTCGCGAGTGTTCGCTAATTTAATTAGCAAGAGATCGTTAACCGAATTATGCGTGCGACGGTGGTCGGTTAACAGACTTAATTGCACGTGTAGTCACACGAGTGTCTGAACATTAGTGGCCCAGTTTTGAGGAAACTGCGGCACGCGATAAGGGTAGCACAAGGAGGAGCTTGCGACTTACATATAATATGGATTCAGCGGTTCTTCTAAGTCCTGACCTACCCTGTTCTAATCGATACGATATACCCCCCTGTTTCTCACTGCCTTTCATCGTGCAAACACGATACGTTGGCAATTAACGCGGTGAACCGATTTTATTATGTAATAAATTAATCAGCAAGATCATAAACAGTCAGGTTTGTTTTATGATCGTTTGTTGTAAATTGAATATTCGTGTTTCAGGCGAAGCGATAATATGCTACCAATGCAACAGCGAATACGACCCAAGGTGCGGCGATCCTTTCAATTCGTACAGCCTGGGAACCGTGAACTGCAGCTTTCAACCACGCTTGGAACACATGAGCCACCTGGAACCCTCCCTCTGTCGCAAGATCAGTCAAAAAGGTATTTATACATGGGAAATGGAAACATTATATTATATTATACATTTATACATTATGCACATGGAAAACGCTTCTTCTCCTGCACGTTTTTATATTTATTTTATCCAAGGTCAGCGTGGAGCATTGCTTTACTTCAACGATACCGCTTGAACTTATTGTTGTTTAAGGATGTATTGGCTATACAGTCAATCCCAAAAGTTTATGCACTTTAGAAACGCATTTTTTCAAAAGAAATCAGACGTCGGAAGAACATTGCTAATAATAAACAACAAAAAAAAATTTTCGATTTTTCCGAGATTTTTCCAAGGGGTACCCCTTCAATTTCTTCGAAATTTTCGTTTTTCATAAATAACTCATTAACTATTGACGCTAGCGAAAAGTTTTTATATGGAAATTGTAGATCTCGTCGAGCTCTACAAGAAAGGTCCTATGCAATTTTCTCGTATCTCCAAGGGTTTGGAAGTTATTGAGGAAAAACGAAATTTTTTTCCAAAAGTTCGCCATTTCGACGGTGGAATGGTCGGATTTCGTCAACATTAATAAAATGTCAAATAATCATGCTTAACTCGTTAAATACTGAAATTAGAAGAAAAATACATAAAACCTTTCATGTAGAGCACGTTAATAGCTACAAATTTTGTATATACGTCAATAATTGGGTATTTCCTTCTATACTTTTTAGCACGTAGCTATTTATTATTAGCATTATTCTTCCGACGTCTGATTTCTTTTTAATTATAGAAAATCCGTTTTTCTGAGGTACATCAACTTTTCGGATTGATTGTATAGCCAATACATCCTTAACTCTGGGTTTAATTTGTGTTAAGAATAAACATATCGTTAATGATCTCGTGCTAATTAAATTAGCGAACACTCGCGAAACTATCAGCAGCCCTTTTTATTATAATTCTGATCGATCGAATTTCGGCACAAACTCCAGGTCCCTGTTTGTATCGTTTTATTCGACAATTTGTTATTTCGATATTTAAACATTAAATCGTACAAATATGGTACTAAGAAATTTCACTGGAATATGATTTATTATTTAAACGAAACTGTCAGGATGCACTCGAAGTAGAAAATAGACGGAATATTACTCGTCAGTCGCTTACATAATCCTTCCTCGAGCGGTTCAAGAGTATGCGCACGTGGCTCACTCAGAACTGTGCCATCTGCACAGAGAAAATTCAAGATTCCAAGTCTCCTAAAGCCGAGGATTTTATTTTACGGAAGAGGCTTTGCTAATAGATTTATCGATGAGACCTTAAGCTGAAACACAAGAGCCCCATTCAAGATTTTCGTTGCTTCGCACGGATTCCATTTAAGCTTCGCTGCTAGCTTCGTCTGGACCGAAACGCAAGACTTGTTCTCCCGCTCTTTCCTACGGAATCCGCATAGTTGTTGTTACGAAGAACGCCAGCTGATTTTGATCAAATTGCAGTGTACGGGAAGATCAGAGTCGTGAGGGGCTGCGGTTACATAGCAGAGGAGAAAGACGCCGCGCCTTGCGTGAGGAGGACAGGCACGCACGACGTACAGGCGGTCTACTGCTCGTGCACCGGTGATCTCTGCAACTCGGCCGAAAGCCGTACGCCGTCCTTCCTACTGCCGTTGACCTCGCTGTTGACGGTCGTCCTGACCGCGCCGAGTTTGCTACTCTCTAACAACCCATCCTCGCCGCACTTCTCCATAGCCTAAAGGATACAGCCGGCAGGACACAGACGCGAAACGCCTAACGGGAAATAACAGGATCAGCGAGAAGAGGCGTTGAACAACTCCCCGGTGCAACTCGTTCTCGTCCGATTTCCGTTCGCCACCGACGTGCTCCTGAACGAAACCGTCTCTGGAAGAGACTCCCGTCGAATCGCATTTTGTTCTCCGGGAACCGTGATTGTCAACGAGTTGAATCCTCTCTGTTTTTTCAAGTACGGGGCGAGGAACGATTCCCAAACGTAGTCAAATTACACGATAGTAGCTGTAACGGTGATACAAACTGCCAGATACGCGAGAGCGTACTTCAGTAGTACACTTCGGTCGACACACACACACAGACATTCACACACAGAGACAGACAGGAAACACACACACGGCCTCCGCGCATGAGGGTAGAAAGTAAAACGAGATACCTAAAAAGAGAAAACCTCACGTAAAAACACGTATATATATATATTATATATATAAACAAAAGTAGCGGCATTCGTTTGTACGCTACTGCAGATTAAAGAATATATATATTATATTTTGTCGGGAGGAAGCTAAAAAAAATGGAATTGCACGCAGAAGGATATTACAGCTTATTTTTAGAGAAGTAACGTCGGGTTGTTTCCGCGAACGATCGGCTTATCAATAAAAGGAAACGATAACAGGAGGAGTGCAATTTCGCGATAGCAACCCGTGTTCCGCTGATTTTTGCAATAAAAAAAAGATTAAAAAGGAAAAAAAACAATGCTGTGTAAACGATAGACAGTAGCCGGAGGCTCGGGAAAAAATTATATGAATCTGTTGGTCCTTTGAATGAATGAATGCCGAATGAGTGTTCGTACGTGCGCGCTAAAAAGTTATTACAAGATACATAAATATATATATGTATATATATATATACATATATATTAGTTAAGAAGTGAAACGTTGCTACTTCTTCGACACCGTAGCCGACTAACGAGAATTTCCAAAATGCAGAGAATTTCAAAAGGAGAAAATATTCCAAGAGGAAAAAAAATGAACGTAGAGGATAAAAAGATACTTAGAACGCTTATCGAAAGCAAGCAAAAACGACGTTAAAAAAAAGACACGTGTCTCACCGCAGTACCTAATTAATTATGCGCTGCCGCCTGATTGTCATCACCATCGTTACAATGATTAATTGCTGATTATTAAACACCACGGCTGCTAGCTGATGCTACCTAACTGTAACGTTACTAAACTAAATCTCATCGTTGTATCATCTGTTCTCCTTGTTAATGTTTGATAAAGCGCGGACGATAGAGGAACGATGGTGAGAAAATTAAAACCGCGGTTCTTCAACCCTTGCTTCGTCAACTGCCTTCGGGCAAGGAAATTGTGACAATTTTTTTTATAGTTTGTTTCCTGTTGATGAAGATAAATCTAGTCAGTTATGTTCCGCTCGACGTAGTTTAGTTGATTAAAAAGAGATTAGTGATACAGTTTAGTAGGCTTGTTAATTTCGCTTGGGATTTGAAACTAATATTAAATGAGATAGTGGTTCAGAATGAGATTCGAGAGATTAGAGTTTGTGTCTCGAATTGTTTTAGTTAGAATATGTTCGTTTAAATGTACTGCGAATCGAAAATAAACTGGTGATACCCGTTTCTGAATGTTCTCTATTCTCTTTAGAAAACAGTAGACGTCGAGCGGAACATAAAGTAACGTCGTTTCCTAGACGTGTCAGTCGGTTCCCCTTACATATCGTCCGCCCATGATCATCTGCCACAGTTGAGTAAAATCAAATTACTGGCGACACTGCCCCTTGTTCAAGCATATCTAAATAAGGAATGGAAGGGTGGGAATAAATTGCATTTAAATCGGAAACGTCAAGGGAACGTTCACGTTTAAATTGTTTTATTGTAACGTTTGATCATTCTATTAATATCGCATTGTACATCGATCATTATGTACGGAGAATCCTGCCAATAAAGTGTTGGATGGTTACCAAAAAATAAGAATCAAAATGATACACGATTGAAGTTGCAAGTTGATTAGTTCATTTCGATGTTAACACTGAGCAAATAAATAATATTCTCTTTCGTGGTGTATCCACTTTCTTCGCACTTGAATCGTCGATACTCTTTAGTAAAACCGACGATTCAAGTGAGATCCCTTCACTTACGTTCATTAATGTTTGTCGTAGTTGTCGTTGATTAATTGAAGGTAAAGAATAAAATCCGGGGTTCTAAATAAAGGCGTGCAGAACACATTATATTTCTCCGTATCAAGAGATTGAAATAGGTACGTGTAGAAAAATCTTAAAGTCAAGTACTTTCTTATGATAACAGTCTAGGGTAACAATTAAACATTTTTCTTTACCGGAGCACCATGGATCGTGTAAATTAATGGAACGTTCGAATGAAATCTCGTACAAAAATCTTTTTCCTGCCGTACAACGATAAAAAAATATACTCGTTTACATTTAAATTTCGATTGCTATTCGTAAGGCAGATTGCACAAATGCATCTTTTAGTATGAACGTTATAAATCGATATTTGCAGCTACGATCGTGGCACGTAAATATGTATACATACATATATATATATA